TGTCGCCCTTCAACTAACTACCAGCGATACAAATACATGTACTTATCTTTGCTTATTTAAAAGGCCCAGTGTTAAAAACAATCAGGAAACGACAAATGCAGTTTTTAGGACACCTGAATTGACATAAGGGTCTTGGGCATCTAGCTCTCACTGGCAAAATTTGAAGGCAAACGGGGCAAAGGTAGGCCCTGAACAACCTACTTAGAGAACCTAAACAAATGGGTAACAGGGAAAAATCAGGGAAACGTAGCTTTGTTTAGAACATCCGAGCAAAAGAATGATTGGAGAACCATGATCGCCGTTGTCTGTCGCAGATCTGGCACTGGGTGATGATGATGATGATTTAATATTAAATGTATTAAAGCGAACACCAGCATGGTGGAATTTGGTCATTTAGTTTCCTAGTTTATTTGCTTACTTGAGTAAAAAATGTAACTATTGGATAGAGTATATTTAATGGACACCTAGTTAATGGAAAGAAAAATACAGACGAACAGACAGAAACAAAAGAGAGATAGAAAAGATACAGGACCTACCAGTAGTACCCTTCAGCTATCCGCTGGAACAAATTAAGATAATAAAACCAACGGACAGTAGAAAAAGTAGATGGCCCATCGGTATCTTTCCCAGCAAAAATAAATACACAACCAAAACGAGCTACACGGCAAAAAGAGAACTGGACACTAGCAGAGATACACAGATTTGTAGGAAAATACAAGGAAAAAAATAGAGAGTAGAAGTGGAAGACACAGAGAGGGTTATAGAAGGGTAGTGTTAAAGACTGCCCTGGAAAAATGGCAGAAATGGCAATTTTCCCTTTTATTTCCGACCTTGTCAGCTTGATCAATTAATCATCCTGCTCCCTTATTCCCATTAAAACAATTTTTGGTTATCAAAAAGAACTGCAGTGACACTCTGGTGACACATTCCAAACAGCCGTACACGGAAATGATAGCAGAAATTATTGATAAAAAGTCGAAAAAGAAAAACATGTGTCCACAATTTTATTTATGTACCGTCATTACCGTGCTTTCCCCTTGCAATATTCATTTATTAAAAAGCTAAACAAAGCAGACAGGCAGATGGATAGGGTGGTGCAGGAAGAAAAAGAGTGAGGGAAGAAGATAAATAGACAGCGTTATAGTACATGCGATGGTGCAGTGGTTAGTGCGCCTGTCTCCGAAGCAGAAAGTCCGGGTTCGAACCTCTGCTCGGACACGGATTTTTTTCGCCCCCTCCCGCCCACCCAGCTGTAATGGGTATCTGACTTCGAGTTGGGGAAGTAAAGGCGGCGTGGAAAGGAACCGGCCACCCTACCACAATATACCGAAAGCCCAGGAAGTTGTCTCACTAGCAAGACAATCCTCAATATCCAGATCGGATGCGGGAACAACTTTACTTTTTTATAGTACATGCAGTATTGTAGTCATACAATACACCTGTTAGCTTTTTTCCTACCAGCTGTTAGCTTTTTTCCTACCAGCTGTTAATTGGCACGATCAGCGGGCAGACCCTTTCATGGATCCTGGAGAGGAGGGAGGAGCAGCTATGGCATTGTGCCGCCTGCAATGACGCCTATTCTCAAACCAAGTAAGTGAGTAAGTAATTCACAACAAACTAAATAAAGAAAAGAGAACCAGCACGTACCCACGTGACGCAGTAGGTTGTTGACCGCCCCAGCCGCACGCTGACTCACGCTCACAGACTCCTGGAGCTCTTGTAGCCATTCTAACATTTTTTCTACATCTTCCTCATCATCACCACCACCAATCTCTTCCTTTTCTTTTTCCTTTAACATTTCCTCTTCCCCTTCCTTCGACATCGCTCTCTCTAACAGCTCTCTCTTTGGCTCCTCGCCCTTGCCTTCACCTGGTCCTGTTTCTGCCTCCTCCATCTCTCTCCTGGACCACAAATGATCTACTGTGCCCACAAAGTCAACTAAATCCGTGGGAGTGATCTCCCTTAAAACTGCGTCGTCCAGACATCGGCGAAGCACAAACATCTCCAGGGGTAACTCTTTCTTCAAAAGCGAAAGAAGCAGCATGGTTGTCGGCCCTTCAATCTCTTGCTGTTCTTCAGACAAAAATGCCTTTTCCTCCTCCTTCCTCTCATTCCTTTCCTCGATCTCAACTGCTGCGTTATTCACTTCATCCCCGGCTACTCCTTGTCCTCCATCTCCATCTTCTTCTCCACCTCCTCCTTTCCTTTTACCCGCTCCTCCCCCTGCAGCCAAACTGACGTCATCATCAGGCGGGAAAAAGTCGTAGGTACGTCCTCTCCGTAGACATCTGGCAGACGATGCCCGCCACGACGGGTTACCCTCACCTCGTTTTTTCCCTCTTCCTTGTCCTCCTCCTTGTCCTCTTCCTTGTAAGGCCAAATCCTCCATTCCTGATCTGGACGCTGAGACGGATAAACCACCCTTACGGCTCCCAGATTTTTCTTGGGAGTTCTTCCCTTCCTGATCCTTATCTGTGGTTGCTTTTTCGGCCGACTCGCCATTTCTACCAACTAGATTGAGCGACACTTCTGGAGATAATCCTGCCTTTTGAGGAGAAGTAAGCGAGGGAGTCTGTGGAGGTGAAACTCGCCCGTGACGCGTTGGTGATCTAGAGTTGTTGCCATCGACCCCCACTCGCGAGATGTGTCTGTTAGTTCTTAACCCTCTCTTCTTCGTGGTGCTTTTCTTACCATCTCGGCAACCGTTAACGGTGTTTGAGGTCGAAGTTTGTTTTCCGGACAAAGATAGACCCCCTTCTGCTGCGTCTTTCCGTACAGCGGCAGCGGCTGCACGTGAGCTGGTACATGTGTCACTATCGGTCGCCATGGAGACCGAGACGCTAGGATTGTGAACAGACTGTCTCCGACGGCCGTCACTATCGACAACATCAGAGCAATCGTCAGGTTGATCCAATGAAGAAGTCCAGAGCTGTCCCGGCTTCCGGTCAAGCTTATCACGTGACCTTCTGTTGACCTTCCGTCCTGCTGACCCCGACCTACGCACACGGTCCAAAACATCCCTTGTCGTTCTAACTGCCATGTTAATGTTAGGCTGGCGTTTGCTGTAAAACAGCTCGGACACTCCCGCTCCCCGCTTCCCACAAGCGACAAATCTGTGCAATCCAGAAATCCACCTCTGCCTCTCCTTGACGTCAGCGGCGTAAGGGTCGAGGTAACCACTGGATGCCTTGTTGAGGCTACCAAGGGGGCGTGGCGGTAGGGGTTCAAACCTCCTGCTACTCACAGCAGCGTCACCTCCCTCCTTCTTTCTACTGATTCCTTTCTTGACGAATGCACAGGGGTGCTTAGACACAGAGGTGACCCGTGCCCGCAGTATTTCCGTCAGCAGCACGCAGAGATCTATGGACGCGTTCTCCCCGCCGGGGGAGGGAGGGGCTGTGTCCGGACTATGGGTGTGGTCAGAACATTCCAGGCTCACCACGTCACACGCGTCCTGGTGTGAAAATCAAAATAAAAAGAATAGCGGTGAAAATTAGGGTACATAAATAACGTGAAGTTGACCACACACACTCTAACATACACAATTCCAGTTTGAATTTCAGAAGGAAAAAAAAGCACACGGACAGAAAACAGCAACAACAACCGCGACAAAAACAATAACAACAACAATAACCGCAACTGTAACGACAACAACAATAATAGCAACAACAACTTTACTTTACTTTTTCCGTCTTATTGTACCTCTAGGGCGTCGAGGGGAGAAAAAGTATCCAGTCTCTAGCAAGTTTGATTTCAGGTTTTGGATTTCAGGTTCTAACAACAACAACTAAAAACCACTGTAAAAGTACCACTTACCCCTATCACCTGCACAAAACGACTTTTCTCCATCTCAGAACTCCCCGCCAAGTCGACCACCTGGCACAACAGCCGCTCCACGTACTTCTCCAAAGTCATGACGTGGGGCGGAGCCATAGCATCAAGTCTCGCCCCTCTCGGGCTCCGCCCATAATGCGCTAGCTCACATTTTTCTCTCTTGGACACCATGCTCATTTTCTGCCTTCTTGCAGCAGCCACCAAAGAACTTTTCTCGTGGGGGATACCTCTTCTGTTAGAGACTATACCACTACCACCACTACCAGTCTGAGATCCAAGGGGGACGGGGAGAGTTGGTGGGAGGAAGAGAAGTAGACTAGCTGGCACGATCGTGGCCTTGGCGTGATGTACATCATCCTTGACTTTGTCGTACAAGGTATGGAAGCAGGCTGCCCCGCGGAGTTTGGCGTCGTAGCTGTCGTTGACGGTGAAGGCCGCGCTGACTTGTTCCTCCATGGCTTTCTTCAGTCTGGGAAACAGACGGATAAGTTGTTAGATTTTATGTTTGTTTTAGTAAATGTTTTACGGCACTTGCAACACAATAAGGTCATACAAGTGCCCAAGATTACAGGACGTTTTACAAGGGAGTAACAAACATAAAAAAGAAGGAGGGGAGATAAAGATGATAGATGTTTGATAGGAAAGAAGGAGCAAACCACTCTAGAGCATCCGCCAACAACCACCCATAAGTTGTTAGATTTATAAGAGACAACGTCTACAAACCGGAATACCACCAATAATAAAAATTTATCGAGTGTCAACGAGTCAAATGGTTTGGACATCTAACCAGAATGCCCCAGAAATAACTAGCTGCTAGAGCTTACACCACCAGAGAAATTGGCTTCTCTAATTTTATCTTCTTTCACCTCCTTCCCGGTTCTCTAGTCCTGTTCCCTCATTTGCTTTTATCTCCACTTTCTCTTGCCCCCCC